GCTAAATAGTTTCTTAAAATGACTTTGACCTAGTCTTACGACTTATGTTCTTAGAATATTAACACTACTGCAATGTGAACATATATTGCATCCAGTGATCTTCCTCTCGCTCTGCTGACATGTTTTTTAACATTGTTGATGTAAAAACACACACTATTAGAAATTAATGGTTGATGATGTACTAATTGTTTCATTTCCTGTAATAAAATACATGTATTTACAATATAACACACATGTTATATATTGTCATATATTCATTGTCATAAGTTTTTTAATTATTTTTGTTTGCTTTTAAGGTTCTTTAGTATATTTCAATTTGGTGTTAATACTTATCTTTTTTCTTTTTTAAATGCTAAATAGTTTCTTAAAATGACTTATTGTCGTTCAATCTTTGACCTAGTCTTACAACTTATGTCCTTAGATTGATTATGTTTGCATCACAATACACCACAGCAAATTCCTTTTATGTGTAAATGTACCTGGCAATAAACTTGATTCTGATTCTGACATGTCAATCAATTCAAATGCGAAATACATTTGGAATAGAGATGTTTGCCTTCAGTCATTACGATAAAAAGAAACACAGAATATTAACACTTACTGCAATGTGAACATAGTATTGCATTCAGTGATCTTCCTCTCGCTCTGCAGAAGTGTAACCTCAAAGGGAAATAGCACAGCAGCTAATTTCACCAAGGACATCTAATCAGTGTTCTGCTCGAGGGGGCAGAGCACTGCTAATGATTAATGACGAACAATCATTAGCTGAGATGAAACAAGGATCTAAAATCTTGCTCTTGCTGCCATCTTGTGGTTTAGATACTCCCACCTATAACTGAGACTGCATGATTTCAAATGACATCAATGTGGTCATATGTGCAACCGACTGAAAGAGTAAACACAGCGAGGCTTAGTAGCAATTCAGGCTGATTACACAATGAAGTAAGAGAAGAAGATGGGCTAAAAACATCAAAGAAAAGCACTTACAGTTCATTTATCTCACATCTACGGTGAAACTAAACACATTGAGAGAAGCAAGGTCCCGTGGTTTAATAAACTTAAACTGAAGCACTCTTTTGGGCACCAGTCAATCCTATGAATTAGATTAAATCAGATCAAATGAACACTGAAGGGTTTTGAACATATTTGTCTTCAGTAAAGGTAATAGTATGTTAAATGTCTTCATATTTGCCTTTGACTTCTTTCTTGCATCAAAGCAGTTCCATTTGCAACTTAAACAGCGTATTGTGTCGTATTAACAATGCATCATAATCTTCTTTTAACCTCTACAGAGGTTTCTGTATCTACTGTAGGGGGAAACAGTCATTTGATACTGGGTCCATGTGTAACACGGGTGTAATATTGTGTATAATGGGTGTTATAACAGTGTAAGTACGGTGTAATAATGGAGTAATATGGTGTGATAATGGAGTAATATGGTGTAATAATGGAGTAATATGGTGTAATAATGGAGTAATATGGTGTGATAATGGAGTAATATGGTGTGATAATGGAGTAATATGGTGTAATAATGGAGTAATATGGTGTGATAATGGAGTAATATGGTGTGAAGAGAGTAATATGGTGTGATAATGGAGTAATATGGTGTGATAATGGAGTAATATGGTGTGATAATGGAGTAATATGGTGTGATAATGGAGTAATATGGTGTAATAATGGAGTAATATGGTGTGATAATGGAGTAATATGGTGTGATAATGGAGTAATATGGTGTGATAATGGAGTAATATGGTGTGATAATGGAGTAATATGGTGTGTGATAAGGAGTAATATGGTGTGATAATGGAGTAATATGGTGTGATAATGGAGTAATATGGTAATAATGGGAGTAATATGGTGTAATAATGGAGTAATATGGTTTGATAATGGAGTAATATGGTGGTAATTTGTAATAATGGAGTAATATGGGTGTGATAATGGAGTAATATGGGTGTAATAATGGAGTAATATGGGTGTGATAATGGAGTAATATGGTGTGATAATGGAGTAATATGGTGTGATAATGGAGTAATATGGTGTAATAATGGAGTAATATGGGTGTGATAATGGAGTAATATGGTTTGATAATGGAGTAATATGGTGTAATAATGGAGTAATATGGTGTGATAATGGAGTAATATGGTGTGATAATGGAGTAATATGGTGTGATAATGGAGTAATATGGTGTAATAATGGAGTAATATGGTGTAATAATGGAGTAATATGGTGTAATAATGGAGTAATATGGTGTGATAATGGAGTAATATGGGTGTGATAATGGAGTAATATGGTGTGATAATGGAGTAATATGGTGTAATAATGGAGTAATATGGTGTAATAATGGAGTAATATGGTGTGATAATGGAGTAATATGGTGTGATAATGGAGTAATATGGGTGTGATAATGGAATAATATGGTGTAATAATGGAGTAATATGGGTGTGATAATGGAGTAATATGGTGTGATAATGGAGTAATATGGTGTAATAATGGAGTAATATGGTGTGATAATGGAGTAATATGGGTGTGATAATGGAGTAATATGGTGTGATAATGGAGTAATATGGTGTAATAATGGAGTAATATGGGTGTGATAATGGAGTAATATGGTGTAATAATGGAGTAATATGGTGTGATAATGGAGTAATATGGTGTAATAATGGAGTAATAGGGTGTGATAATGGGAGTAATATGGGTGTGATAATGGAGTAATATGGTGTGATAATGGAGTAATATGGTGTAATAATGGAGTAATATGGTGTGATAATGGAGTAATATGGTGTAATAATGGAGTAATATGGTGTGATAATGGAGTAATATGGGTGTGATAATGGAGTAATATGGTGTAATAATGGAGTAATATGGTGTGATAATGGAGTAATATGGTGTGATAATGGAGTAATATGGGTGTGATAATGGAGTAATATGGTGTAATAATGGAGTAATATGGGTGTGATAATGGAGTAATATGGTGTGATAATGGAGTAATATGGTGTAATAATGGAGTAATATGGTGTGATAATGGAGTAATATGGTGTGATAATGGAGTAATATGGTGTGATAATGGAGTAATATGGTGTGATAATGGAGTAATATGGTGTAATAATGGAGTAATATGGTGTGATAATGGAGTAATATGGGTGTAATAATGGAGTAATATGGGTGTGATAATGGAGTAATATGGTGTGATAATGGAGTAATATGGTGTAATAATGGAGTAATATGGTGTGATAATGGAGTAATATGGTGTGATAATGGAGTAATATGGGTGTGATAATGGAGTAATATGGGTGTGATAATGGAGTAATATGGTGTAATAATGGAGTAATATGGTGTGATAATGGAGTAATATGGGTGTGATAATGGAGTAATATGGTGTAATAATGGAGTAATATGGTGTAATAATGGAGTAATATGGTGTGATAATGGAGTAATATGGTGTAATAATGGAGTAATAGGTTGTGAATAATGGAAGTAATATGTGTAATAATGGAGTAATATGTGTGCTAATGGAGTAATATGGTGTGATGGTTGTAATAAGAGTAATTTAGGTGTGATAATGGAGGTAATATGGTGTGATAATGGAAGTAAATGGTTTTTGATAAGGAGTAATATGGTGTAATAAGAGTGAAGTAATATGGTTGTGATAATGGAGTAATATGGTGTAATAAGGAGTAATATGGGTGAAATGGAGTAATATGGTGTGATAAGGAGTAAATGGTGTGTGTACTGGAGTAATATGGTGTGTAAGGAGTAATATGGGTGTTGATATGAGGTAATATGGTGTGATAATGGAGTAATATGGTGTGATAATGGAGTAATAATATGGGGTGTGATAATGGAGTAATATGGGTGTGATAATGGAGTAATATGGTGTGATAATGGAGTAATATGGTGTGATAATGGATGTGTATTCATGTATTATATGGGTGTGATGTAGAATATAGCAATCCATTTCATTTTCCAAAATATGTACATGTGATTATCCATTAAAGGGTTAAAGCTTTTATATTATTGAGGCACGAGTGTGATGTAAGTTTTACAACAACTTTGAGAATGCTCTTGACTTTCTAAGTATGTATGTACGTCCCTGACTGAACTGGAAGGTGGTTTTCTAAGGGGTAACATTAAGGGACGATTAAGGTGTTTGATGTATATTGAAAAAGCTAAATTGCGTCCATAGTGGGTGAGTTTCTAAAGGCTTGTTTCCCTTAAGGATGCATCTGACTTTTTGAAGTACAGGAATGACTCTTTCCTTTGTCCAAATAGCCTCATGTGGATTTTTCCAAGAAGCTCACTGCTGATACATAGAAACCCAGATGAGGCTTTAGATGCTGCCTAACACAAAGAAAGCAATCTCCCCTGAATGCCTTTTTAGTGGAAGCAACTAAACAGATGCTTCCATTTGTAAAAGTGATTACATTTTTTCTCAAATTTGAGTCGATTAATTTCACAAATGCAAACGCAGCAGGGCCGAAGTGCTGAATCATTCCCATCCAGGCACTCAGGCACTATTGACACAAATTGATTAACATTACAGTAGCAGCAAGGGCTTTAGTAATATCATTATTGGTTGATGGTGTGATGCTTGTGTGCAAATGCAAAATGGCCTTGAGGCTCATATTGAATGTCAAAAGGATTGTGAAATCGGAAAATGGAGTCATTGGGCTTATGCATAAGGACTGGGTTGATGATTGTACATTTCTGGACTGATTTGAGTTGCATTAGAAAAATAAGACTTTTATAGACATGTTTAATAAGCTTGAACCTGCTTCGATGAGAGTGTGATTGTGTAAACCGGGACAGTTTGATGCAAAAAAATACAAGTGTAAATCATATTTGACTATCAGCAACAGGTACAGTGCGTAATCCTACACGCCTGTAATTGTAAACCAAATTGTATGTGTTTATTTGTATTTATTTTATTTTGCAATTCCACTTTTCATCATCGCGTCTCTGCTACACTCCCCCTCTGCCTTTTGTTTGCGAGGTGGAGCCTGATACCCCGACTTCTCCAAACTGAAGTGCCGGCAACGCAGACGGACAGGCAAGGACCGAGAGGCGGTGGCACAGATCTGGGACCAGCAGATCGAAGAGGGACAAACCAGGCGGTTGCAAGGAGAGAAGGAGGATTTTCTAGAGGGTTTCGCACGGTTTTCTTCTTTTTTACAAACCAGCTGCACGGAGGAGCTTCAAGAAAGATGAATTATTTCATTCTGCTGTCGCTTTTTGCCACGGTTTTCGCCGGAAATGCACCTCGGCTGAAATTTGTTGTGCACGGTAAGCAGAGCTGAATTTGCCGGATATTTGCTTTTTGGTCACAAGTAATTAAACCACATATGCGATTTAGGTGTTTTATTTAGCGATGTCAAGTGTTTTGTAGGTGATGGATCAAAGCATGGCTGAATGGTTGGATGGATGAATGCATTAACACAGTGAGAGGTTAGTCGAGGTGATGTAGCCAGTTTTTTTACCCCAGTTCTCCTCGTGATGTTTTGTCCTTTGCAAAAGATGCACAAACAGCACGAATAAAGCCATATTGACGGGGCTGTGGGTTAATCTCTTAAAACACCGCCCTCCCCCCACTGACCGAGTAGTAAATTACGCGCTCCACCATTCAGGCCGGCACACATGTTAACTGGCTTTTACAGGATGAACATCTGGAGCAAATCTGATCTGCTTTATTATCTTACAATTACTAAAATATCACATGTATTAAGACTTGTGTTAAGTGTGTCCTTAGCCTCGTGTTTTTTCATTTATAGTCCAAGATTCCAATTTCCATCATATTTATTAATTATTTTGATGTGATTTGTACAACTTGTGGCTTTTTCTTTGTTTTTTTGGATAACTTGTGTGCTGGCTTTTTCTTTCTCAGTGCAATGCGGTATCTGAATGCTCACTTTTTTTATCTATATAAATGCACCGTCCCTGTCATTGGCACACATGGGGTTTTATTGGCGCCTGTCCCTCCACATCAGCACCCCCAGGCGCAGTGAGAGGACTACATCCAGAGGCACTTTAATAAAAAACAACCTCTCCTCTCCCTCCTGGAGTAATATGGCGCCGGTTTGCCTTGAACATTGTGATGCTGTACCCTTTTAAAGAGCCGCGTGCCACCGCGGAAAAGCATCGTTGCTTTGAAATATGACTCTTTGGGGGTTGACACAATCAGTGGAGCTCCCGCGTCCTTGCGGAGCTGCAATGCGGGACACAGCAGCTGCTTCACTGCAGCACTGGAGTCCAGCACCTGGAAAGAGAGGGTTGCAATAGAGTAAAACCCTTCATACATACATTATGTTCATTTACAAATATACAGACATGGAGAGAAATGGAGAGGAGGGCTTTGAAATGGAAAATTCCAAGCCAACCCCCTAGTTATCTATTCCACTCACGCATTTTGTACACACACACACACACACACACACACACACACACACACACACACACACACACACACACACACACACACACACACACACACACACACACACACACACACACACACACACACACACACACACACACACACACACACACACACACACACACACCTCTAATGTATTCAGCAATCAGTAGAGATGGGGGTTGTGTGTCAAGTTATATGGATCTGTATGCCTCCCCTCCCCGCGGTTGAACACAGTACAAAACGCACAAGATGACGGCCCCGGACGTGCAAGTCATATCAATCAAACTCGTTGTTATGCAATGGCAGGGAGGGCTGTTCATGCCTGTAGTGATAGGATTATCTCGCACACAGGTACAATACACTGTCAGAGGGAATCAATCAAGTGCGCACATTGAGCCTGAAGTGCAGAGCCTTCTCAATAATCTGCAGCTGCTGAAGGGCTGGCTTTATGTCAGCACCGTGGACAGCGCAGAGGTCCTCACAAGGTGAAGGGTCCCCACGTTGCACGTTAGATGAGAACATAGCTTCACGGAACTTTCTCAGGGATACATAATGGCTTTAACATTCAGTGAAAATGGGGTTCATTTGAGGTTGGAAATGCTGTGATGGCTTGAAGGGGCTTAGTGAATGAATGACTTTGCATTCATTTGGCAGACACATTCGTCCAAAGCTATTACAATAAGTGCACAAAACTGCAGGAGTGAAAAGACGGTTTCCCTGCCAAACAAACAAGTGCATTGTACGTTTAATTGTTCCATCTTGAAGACTACAATGTTAAATGTATAAGCAATCTGTTTTAGAGGGTTTAGTATACCCATAAATAGACAACATGTTAAACAGTTGTAGAGCTGCAATGAAAAATATCTTATTGATTGACAAGGAATGAGACACACATGTTGTTCTTTACAGTTTGAGACTAGAGCGCAAAAACCTTCATAATGATCCGGAGCTTTTTTAGGGCTGGTTATATTTCAGCCTGTGGTAAGCAGTGAGGTCCTCACAAGGTGAAGGGTCCCCACTTTGCATGTGAGATAAGCACATACTTTCAAGGAACTTCTGCAGGGCTACCACTGGTTTTAAGATGCAGGTTGAAATAAGGTTTGCTTAAAGGTGGGGTAGGTGATTTTGGAGGAACCAGCTCGAGTGCGCTAGAATTTGAAAATACACAACCGGAACAAATCTGCCACTTCCTCACAGAGCCCCTCCTCCAACACACACGAACGCGCACATGACCAATGAGGGCACGAGATAAGTTTGTGCACAGATGGAAGGCTGACAGGCAGGTAGGCCATCCAGTTACTTTAGCCGGCTCAGATGATTGGTCGTGCTTTTTACAGCGCCACGGCTTCCACAGATGACATGTTTTATGTATTTATTGTCAAAGCATTTAAGATATTCATTGCTATCGGGATGTTAAGAGCATTCCATGGAAAATAACAAAAAGTGTATCTCGAGCCGGTTTCTCAAACGTACCTACCCCACCTTTAAGGTTGGAAATGTTGTGATGGCTTTTAGGAGCTTCGTACATGGTTACTGCATTTTCATTTGGCGGACACATGCGTCCAAAGATATTACAATAAGTGTATAAAACTGCAGTACAGGAAAATATATCACTTAAAAAACGGAGGAGCATTCTACTTTTAATTATTCCTCTTTGAAGGCTACCATTGTACGTTTTTGCTTTAGAGAGTTTAGTCGACCAAAATATAGAAGGATTTATCTTCACAATTTGAGCCTTAAATGCAAAACCTTCTCAATAATCTGCAGCTGTTTTGCGGCTGGCGTTATGTCAGCACCGTGGACAGCGCATAGGTCCGTACCGAGTGAATGGTCCCCACCTTGCATGTTAGATGAGCACAGCTACAAGGAACATCTGCAGGGCTACAAACTGGCTTTAAGAGTGATGTCGATAATCATAATAGTACAAAATGAGTTATTAGTTCAGCTTCTAAACCAATAACATATACATGAAACAAGAGTGTGTGTAATATTAATCTTGATTCATGTTCAGATCACGATTTAAGAGAAAGTTTGGTCAAAGTTGGGGTGTTAAGAGGATAGGCATGGGGAGACAGAAAGTGAGCGAAGGATTTGAAAGAGATCCATCTCAAGACTAATTTGACATCTATGGCTGTGTCCTAAATATCAGAACAACGCAGGCATCTCTTGCGTTGACCTTTTCTCTAGCTGGAGGCCTAGCGCCTCAATACCCGATTGAACCAGAGGCCTGACTTATGTTACATAGCCATCTTCTCAACACCTTTACAGTCAAATGTTCTATAAATTGCAGCGGTTGATGGTGAACTTCAAAAGCTCTGCCTCTTTTTAAGTATGCTTTATTCTTGTTAAGTTTGAAACTACTCCCAACAACAACAACAACAACTATTCCTTTTAACATGCACATTTCTCAGTGCAATTAGGCTTTTGTTTATTATTAAGTGACTCTCTAATTGGAAAATAATTTGGTTTCATTGGAGAATGACATGCTTCTCTGAGATGAAGGCAAGGCAAGTTTATGTATAGCACTTTTCTGTACGCGACAATTCAAAGTGCTTTACAAAAGAAATTAAAAGACTTTTTAGGAATAAATACATTAAAAACACATTATACAATTTTACAACAGACATTACAAAGCAAAGATTATCAAATAATAAAAAGAAACACCACAGGTAAACAATACATGTTTAAAAGGCATACTGTAGTTCGAATACGAGCATCTCAATTAAAAGCAGCCAAAGAGATACGTTTGTAGTCTCGATTTAAAAATAGTAAGCGTTTCTGCGGACGTGCGTGATTTGGGTGGTTTGTTCCAGAGTGAAGGAACTTCTATAACCCTTGAATGGAAAAAACAAGGCAGGTTTTCATGACCTTTGAAACAATTCACGGTTTGCACCCAGCAATGATTACATGTCTACGGAAAACAGAAACATAAAAGCAAGCTAACAGATAGAGGGAAGGAAGCACACTTATTACATCCAGAATGTGACATTTCAGGTGTGTCTGTGTGACCCTTTTGCAGTCAAGAAAGACATGGAGTAAGAAGCTGATGAAGAAGACTGTACATCCTGTTCCTCCTTTGTGCTTTTGGCTCTTTAGAGAACTGGGACAGCATAGGCGGGGGAGGGGTTTAGCTAAGGTGCGACTTTGAAGGCTCCTTGTGATGTTTTCTTGAGAAAAAAAACGTGTGTGTGCATGTTTACATTCAATGTTGCTAACCTAAATGCCGTGGTGTTCGGACTATTGCGGTTATGCTTTGAGGCCTGACGGATATATTATATTAGTTCGTCATTAAAACCCAGATTGTTTACATAGTATCTATGTTGGATTGGCAAAGATGTGTTTTAAAGTTGTCAAATATGCAAGAAAACTGCAACTTATTCCTTCTACACCTCAATAACTCAGTATAGCAACCAGCCACTTTTCTTTTTACTTGAACTTAACGTAGGTCCGTCTAACAGCAGATTAGCAATTTAACTGTGTCAAATGTATGTTGTAACTTATTCCAAAAGCCAAGCTGTCTTTTGGAAACATTTGAAACCAACATTGTTTAAATAACCCAAATTAAGTAAATCTGTTAGCTACCCTCAACATAACAAAAAACATGTTTTTAATGGTTATATTTCATTTTAAAGTGTTCAACTATGGAAGAAAATACACCATACAGTATATCCACTAAATAGAAAACAAATAATAATATTTTCCAAATATTTGTCAACTATATACCTCAACCATTGTAACCCAACATTATTTTGGGGATACAAGCGGCAGTAAATCTAATATGTAAGTTGTTACCTACACCATCTGTCACATTGGCCCTTCTTGTACATTATTTATTTCCTTGTGAAGAACGAGCATCTTCAACTAGATTCAGAGAATCAGAGAGGCCACAGTTTCCATAGAAACTTAGTTGGTTGGCTAGCAACCCGTTATCAGTGATCACCATCACTTCATCTTGCTCTGCTGTCAAACTGGATTTCTGTTTAATCTCAGGGATGAGAAGAAACCATTACAAATACCATGTGACCAACCGTGACCGTTGAATCAGGTTTAGTGACTATTAGCTCATCTACTTGTATTAAGACACAGAGAACATGCATCATTAGTCTGGAATTACATATTGATGTCATGGTGTATTTTTGTTAAAGATGAAAGGGAAAAATGAAAGCTTACTCAGATTTGATTCACCGTTATGACTCTATTTTAATCTTCAGTTTTGTCACAAGCTTTAACAGGCACCTGGTTGGATTGCTTCAAAGCTTTTAAGCTCTTTAAAGTGAAAGTTCCTGAAATGTACTTCTGGATCAAAGCTCGGAAAACAAGCTGGTAGCCCATTAAGAGGCTTGTAACTTTGATGTGTTATTCACCTTTTTTTGGTAGAACTCATGTCTTTAAAATTAGTTTTAGTACATATTATGCATGCATCACATGCTTTTGGAATCGTAGGAATATGAATGCTGGCAGAGTTGCCGTATATACACAGTAAGTGAGTCTGGATGGATGGGTGAATCAGAAATGCCTCATGTGCTTGTCAGACGTCTGGGGGAGTCCTGAGAGTAATTCAAGCATCTGTTGATGGTATTTGCCCACATGATTATTTCAGTGAGATATATGCTCCAACCGAATGCCCTTTTCCTCCAACACCAAGGCAAGGTGTCAGTGAAGGCTCCTTGTTTAATTTAAAAGCACAAAGGGCAGTATCATCAGATCGAGTGCTTTGGTAAACCGGACCAGTTTGAATCCAGAATTCCTCGAGTTGGTTCCGATTTTGATGGCGGGATAAATGTTGATTAAAATGCGAAGGTTTCACTCGACCTGCTGGAGGAGCTTAGGCCGGCTGAATCTGGATCATCTTTTTAAACAACCTCTAAGTCAATTTGCGTTCAATGGATTGACCTTTTGTTATTGTTTAACCTTTTCTATATGAATCTTTTACTATTACGTTGAATCTCTTTTTATCTTTAGCTGTTGATTTGATTATATTTCAATCATCTGGAAATTGCTTTTCAAACTCTGAACAAATGCTGTATGTGTTGTTTTTCATTTGTATTTGTCATTCCCTACTATTTATTATTGCCAAATGATAAAAGCAGTAGTGTTGTGTTCTGAATCTGAATTAGGTGTTGTTTGTCTTGATTTGACAAGAGTTCAGTTCATTTATATTAATGTAACTTTGTAACCTCAGGGCACATTTTCATTTCACAACCTCAACACAATCATTTTAACAATTCAAACAACACAATACTCAAAGCGCTTGCCTGCCTTTCTCTAATACACTTTGTTTTGATCCACAGAGCCCTCCAGGTTCCACTTCAACAAACCTGAGAACTACATCAGCATGTACCACCAGGAAGGAAGCGACACGGTGTACGTTGGCGGCCAGGCGATGGTCTATGTGTTGACGTTCGCTAACAGAGGGGTCCGCGACGTGCAGGTACACTCCACGTCTAGCTGACTTTTGCTGTCTTCACATTCTAATATTCGGGGGCATTTATCTCTCAGCTCCTGGCAGTCTTTTGTAATAGAGAACCACTCTGCTGCCACATTTCCAAAGATAAATGACCAACCACGATATTAAATACTAACTACTGTCTCTAAGTAGGTCCACTTTGGCAACCAACCGATGTTTGGAATTGCAGTTCATACATAAATGTTAAGATAGCAGCTAACATAGTTAGCTGGGACCTCAATATTGGCCTGCATACCCTGTATAACCCTACATGTGTCTTTGTCGATACATCTACAACAGTACAGACATTGTTGAAGCACATAACCCACTCTAACTAAATCTAACTTTTAAAATACGGTCTGTGTCCATATCGTGCCAAAGCCCCTTTCCCATTTGACAAAATACCCATCGAAACCCACTGACATCTGGCTTTTATCTTAAATGGGGCAAACCAGTTAAATCGGTCCACTTCAAAACCACTTTGTCCAATAACCAATTGGTGTTCATATATCTTAAGCTAGTAGCTAAAATAGTTAGCCAAGTCCTAAAGGTTGAGCCACAGTTAAAGTCCTTGCATACCCGTTGTACTCCTACATGTGTTTTCACTTCTATTGCCTGATGAAACTTCCTCTCTGAACTGTATGGGCCTGTACACAGTGGTGATTGGTCTATAAAAGTAAAGATATTGTCAGAACAAATAACCACCTCTAACTAACTGTTACTTTATACATTTCATATTGTCTAAAAAGTATGTAAACGGTTCCCTTACCCTCTCAAAAAAAAACACCAACACTTATAGTTGGAAAGGTTACAATCAGCATTAAGAGTGAATACACCTGCAGTAATCAAAGGTATTGATCGTCTCCAGCTGTGATAAACAGTGATGGAAACCCGGCACCTGTGTGGAAATACAATAGCATGGCAAACATGAATATATCTTAAATAATTTAGACTTATACCAAATTACAACTGTACCATCGTCTAAAACACACTTTATTCAAACTTGAAAAACAAAAATAAATATGTGTTAGTCTTTCAACTGTTCCAAAAATAACCTACTATGGTTTGAGAGTTTCCAAAATGTGACTGAATAACAAGAAATGCTTTGACTGTTTTGAACATTTCGAAGGATCCTTGGGCAAGATACCTTAACCCAAATTGCTCCCAAAGGCATGGCTGACATATATAAGAGCTTTGAGGGGTTGAAAAGACTGGGCAAGCTCTAAATAAATGCAGTCTATTAACAGTTTAATATGAATTGACTGATTTATAATTGGAAAGGAGTCGCAGGTTTCTCTGTGTTTAAAAAACCTAATTTGGTGTTGGTAAAATAGGTTTCTTTTTAACTTCAGATAAAGATGGCCAGCTGCTTTCCCCCTGCCTCTAGGGTTAGGGTTATGTTACTGTTTTCCGGACTCTATGAGAGGATAACAAACAAAGTCGCCCTCCTGATGTGAGGTTAGAGAGGGCAGAGAGAGAGATGATACGACTGACCGACCACTGAGCAGTTCAGCCGCGGAGGACAGAGGGAGTTGGGTCATGCATACATTGATGAAGCTACACATATATCTCTCTGTGAGAAAAGCAAATATTCATTGGGTTATTAATGTCAACATGGCTCAAGATAACACACCGTGTGGGCTTCAGTGTCAGCAGTGACAAGCTTGACAAATTGAAACGACTGTAAGCTTGTCTCGATGTCTCATTCAAATATGACTACGCTTTGTATTTTTGGAACGACTGCTGGCTTAGTGTTGGGTTTTCCAGTGGAGAGGAAAAGACGAGTGGGTAAACAACTGCTGGGGTTGAGATGTCGTTGATGTTTGATGGTGTCATTCTCTCACTCACACTGTAGTGAGATTCTGTCACAACTTATTTCCAGTGAAGGGTAGTTCAGCGGAGCATAACAGAAGAATCATTTCAATTCTTAAAAACAGCATACACAGAAAAAGACTGAGGGCTTCTTTAGTGATACCAACAATTCTAGTGGGACAAATGTATTACTTCATGTAAGGGAAACTTCTGCAGCAATGGAGAGTTAGGAATCAGAGAGACACGAGGAGAGTTGGAGCTTTGATGTCAAACACTGGTAGTTTATTACAAGTCAACGGCCGGAGAATTCATATCACAAGTCACAGCAGCAAAAGGTTCTGACTGCAAGGGTGGGTTGTCATGTCAATTCTGATCCGCCTCGCATCTTGGTAGACCTTTTAACTAGTTTACAGAGAGTCAAATCCACATATTGGGGATGGGCGTAGACATCTACAGACACAGGAGATGTCTCTCACATCTGTGCAGCTTAGAAAGCCAGCGTTCTCACACTCGTAAAAACCCCCTATGCCCTGCAGGTCAGGCCATAAAACCTAGTATCAACATACGACTGCATTAACACATTCCTTACGGGAGATTAGAAGCAGGGATGGTCGTAAATGTCAACACACAGAATAAGGTTAAATGTCTAGGAGTAAAGACAAAATGAATCCCTAACACTTCACACAACATTTATTTACTTCACAACGTTGAAACAATATTTGTTTGACTGAGGGGCGCAACACTTTTTAGATTTCCCAAAAGATAAGTTCATTCTGAATCATTAAGACGAGATACTATAAACCTTCATTCATGCCCAAACGTAAATTGTGTTAAAGCAGCCTCAGATTAAGAATGAAATGAGGACGGTACAGATAAGAGTTCTCACAATGATAATAATGATAAAAATAACAGTGTGTTACCGTATGGACAAGATAATTCACAGCGAATTGTACACATATGAGAAGGTATATAAATATATATATATATGTGCGGGTGCAAGTGTGAGTAAGTGCAGGTAGATCCTAAATGGGTTACATAACTCTTGATTGGAGTATCTGTGACGCTTTTTGTTAAACTGCTCGTCACTGTTTTTGACATATACTGTATGTACTGGGAACATCACGTGCACGCTTCTCCTTTAAGGGGGTAGTTATATGTTTTTGTGTTTTTGTCTGTAAAGGCTAGAATCCTAACGTTCCCTCCAGCGGGAGTTTCTGCCTGACTCTCCATCGGACTCCTCGTTTACTTCTGTAACTGTAGTGACATCATTATGTAACACTCACGTTTCCATTGGCTAGCGCTCCAACATGTTATACTTTATAGGATAAGGGGCGGGATATCTCTAAGCGGTTGACCAATCACAACAGAGCCGGCCAGCTAACCAATCAGAGCAGACTGGGCTCTGGCTTTTTGAACATTAAAGCATGGAGACATGTCACAGTAGAGACACTACATCCTGATATACACCTGAACATCAGCAGGAGAGGACTCTTTAAAGTAGAGACACTACATACTGATATACACCTGAACATCAGCAGGAGAGGACTCTTTAAAGTAGAGACACTACATACTGAGATACACCTGAACATCAGCAGGAGAGGACTCTTTAAAGTAGAGACACTACATACTGATATACACCTGAACATCAGCAGGAGAGGACTCTTTAAAGTAGATACACTACATACTGATATACACCTGAACATCAGCAGGAGAGGACTCTTTAAAGTAGAGACACTACATACTGATATACACCTGAACATCAGCAGGAGAGGACTCTTTAAAGTAGAGACACTACATCCTGATATACACCTGAACATCAGCAGGAGAGGACTCTTTAAAGTAGAGACACTACATACTGATATACACCTGAACATCAGAAGGAGAGGACTCTTTAAAGTAGAGACACTACATACAGATATACACCTGAACATCAGCAGGAGAGGACTCTTTAAAGTAGATACACTACATACTGATATACACCTGAACATCAGCAGGAGAGGACTCTTTAAAGTAGATACCCTACATACTGATATACACCTGAACATCAGCAGGAGAGGACTCTTTAAAGTAGAGACACTACATACTGATATACACCTGAACATCAGCAGGAGAGGACTCTTTAAAGTAGAGACACTACATACTGATATACACCTGAACATCAGCAGGAGAGGACTCTTTAAAGTAGATACACTACATACTGATATACACCTGAACATCAGCAGGAGAGGACTCTTTAAAGTAGAGACACTACATACTGATATACACCTGAACATCAGCAGGAGAGGACTCTTTAAAGTAGAGACACTACATCCTGATATACACCTGAACATCAGCAGGAGAGGACTCTTTAAAGTAGAGACACTACATACTGATATACACCTGAACATCAGAAGGAGAGGACTCTTTAAAGTAGAGACACTACATACAGATATACACCTGAACATCAGCAGGAGAGGACTCTTTAAAGTAGAGACACTACATACTGATATACACCTGAACATCAGCAGGAGAGGACTCTTTAAAGTAGAGACACTACATACTGATATACACCTGAACATCAGCAGGAGAGGACTCTTTAAAGTAGAGACACTACATACTGATATACACCTGAACATCAGCAGGAGAGGACTCTTTAAAGTAGAGACACTACATACTGATATACACCTGAACATCAGCAGGAGAGGACTCTTTAAAGAAGAGACACTACATACTGATATACACCTGAACATCAGCAGGAGAGGACTCTTTAAAGAAGAGACACTACATACTGATATACACCTGAAAAGGATATAAAGCACAGGAGGTCAGGTTGGAGAAAAATATACAGCAAAGACATAAATGATGAACTTAATTGTAAATGAATGTATTTAACAGAGCTTGTATCTATCTACGACAGCAGCTTTGTACCGTGAACATTGTGTTGTAGCAGTTGCAGTAAGGTTGCAGTGTTCTTGCTGAAACAAGGCAGTGTGAAAGAACTTGGCACTAACTAAACATCCCTTCCTCCCACAGATCCCAGCGGCATCTGACCAGACCGCAATTGATACCTGCAAGGCAAAGGCTGCACCACTCGAGGTAGCAACTCATCCTCACAGTCAGCACCTCCATCACTCCTGCAAAGCACTCTCCTCCTCCTCATCATCATCTTCATCATCCCCATCATAATCATCTGCAGTCGCACATCAGTGAGGTCTGATTTCCCAAGTTTAATTCAGCTATTACGATTCTATTTTTTTTGCGAGGATATATTAAAGAGCAAATAATTCCAACAAGCAGATGCAATAAAGACAAATGTATAAATAATGTTAATTTATACAGACGGGATCACGTTGCACAGGAGACAGCTTCACCTCAAACAAACACACAGATGAGTGAGCGGTTGATAATTGCAGTGCATAATTTAAAGAGGTTCCATAGAGAGACTGAGCAGATATCGAGAGATTTATACAATATTCAACCTGAAATATGTGTGATAGCGTGGGGAAGCTACTCCTAATGCGAAATGCTCCGAGGGTTAGTAATAACCTTAAGAGGCCTTGGCACAATGCTGACTGATTTGAGGCTTGTAATAAGACACAAAGAAATGCCTGGAAAGAAAAGCAGACAGTCTTAGTATTTAAAGATTCTTGAAGACCAAGATAATTTTCAATAATTAATAATCTCCACACTCATTTTCATGATTGCAATTACAGGAACATTGACGTGATCAAGTTCCATTTATTCTCAAGGCAAACATTCTGCATTCGCTCAATAGATACAAAGATAATTAATGTTCCAGTCCCTACTTAGCCTAATGTATTACTTTAGATGGGATACATCTGATATGATTACATTCTCTGTCATTATTTTAAAGCTCAAAGGCAAATTACTCTTTCAGCGTTTTCATAGCCAAGAGGGTCGTGCACCTGCGAGGGATTGGCGCTTAATAATATGCACATAACTAAATGCCTGTTTGCTGGTTTTTTAGAATTATTGATGACAGAACAAAAGCCGGGTGTAGCTTTGATTGTTTCCATGATGGTCACAGTCAAAACGCAGTACCATTGAACGCCCATCGGCCAACAAAAGTGTAGACAACTTATTTGTTTGTTTATTTATCTGTTGTCTATTCATCTGTTTTATGTTTTTGTTTTGTTCTTACATTTTTCAATAACAAATATAGAAAAACAATATATATACATGCTGTAGAGGAAACTTCTGTGTAGCATGCAGTGGAGTCACCGACTCAGGAAGGAGACACGGGAAGAGTCGGAGCTTTGATGTCAAACCACTGTGATTTATTTGGAGTTGGTACCAGAGTATTCATATCACAAATCCAAGAGTCAGAGGTTCTGACTTCACGGTAGAGTTGCCACGTCAATTCTGGAGAGCCTCTCTCTTGCCAGCCCATCTAACTGGTTTCGCAGAGAGTAAACAACATATTTGAGGAGATAGCCTAAACAGTGTGGGAACACAGAGCTACTTGCCTCGGACACTTATGACCTCGAAGATTTTACCTTGGAGTCCACAAATACAGAGAAGGAAGTGTCCCAGTGTACCCACAACACAGACCATCTGTATCCCAGTATTGACCGGTCACAGAATGGGAACAATAACATTATTGGCTAAGCCGCCTGTGTCCTTAAAGAAGGTAAACAGACATCAAGGTTTGTCCTGTATGTTACAAATTGGCGTCTTATGATAATTATTTCCATAACACATGCTAGTAATTTGGTTTTTGGGAGAAGGGGTGGGATTCAATAAGTGTTCTTCCCACCCCTTTTCTGATGTGTAGTTAAGTAGATCATTTGTTTATATACAATTTAGAATCAGTAATATTTTTGTATATCAATTTGACACTGAATAATTTTGTATTGCATAATAATTATCATGTTACATTTTTGTATTATTGTTTTACACATTCGAAATAAATCTAATCAAATCAAAACATTATATAAACCCAAACATACACAAACAATCCTTATCTTTGTGTCAACAGGAAATAGGTATACATTCATATATTATATTATGTTCAAAGTATGTTTAGGTCCATTCCAACATGTTTAAGGTTAGAGAAAGATTTAGGGTTTACGAGCCTGCACACCAACCCCAACTCAGTTTCCTTACTTGCTGCCCCGCTCTGTGAAGGGCACACTGCTTCCTGCACCAGGGCTGCATGTCGGACATGAATCCGGGTGAAATCATTAAATGTTTTTCCTCGGGACACTTGGCTGATATTCCAATGAACATGTTTGTTGTCAGTGCTGAGAGCCATTTACCAAGCAGTACAGTACAACTACAAAACATGAAGCATTAATACATTTTGGGACCAGCTTTGAAGGTTCATATTAGGCATTAGTCCCAGTGAGATAAGTCTGCAACAGCGTCCGCATAACACGGATCCTTATCATGCTTTTTATAGGTTATTGTGCATGTAAATGGTCTGCAAAGGACAGAGGGGTTTTCTCTCCCAACACAGTTTGAGCTTTTTGAACATTAAACATGTCCTTTAACAAATTATAGTACTTAAGTCCTACATGTGTGCATTAGACAAGTACGTACTTTTTGCAAACATGCCCAAACTCTAAAGTATTTTTACATAAGAACAGAAAGAAAAAAGTGTAAATTACACAGCTCACCCACTCGCCTACACACACACCTACACATCCACCTACACACACACACACCTACACATCCACCTACACACACTTACGCATCCACCTACACACCCACCTACACACACACCTACACATCCACCTACACACACACCTACACATCCACCTACACACACACCTACACACACACCTACACATCCACCTACACACACTTACACATCCACCTACACACCCACCTACACACACACCTACACATCTACCTACTGTACACACACTTACACATCCACCTACACATCCACCTACACACACTTACACAAGCTCTGGCCCTGCTTTTTGGACCTCAAGATGTCCTTCCTCCATCTTGTTTACTTATCCACGTTTTTATCAGAATGTATGTGTTTTTTCTTTTTTTGTTAAAAGACAAACTACAACAAACATGGCTCAACGTGAGAGCCAATGCAGATCTGTTTAGTAGTCTTATTTAGTATTAATTTCCGTCCTCCAGTAATACCGTAGAGAAAGCAGTCCATTTCTTTCCGATAATGAAGAAGTGATGCGTATGGAGTGCAGCAGTGCCGTACTGCAGGGCTAAGCCTCCTGTGTGCTGTCTGCCAAAATTGTTCAGAGCATGGATCACCTCCAGTGTTCCTTAAATCTCTCCCTCTCTGAGCAATCCGCTTTTGCTCTCGTAATCTGTTTTGTGTTGCAGTCTGTCTTTGATTCACTATGCCTTTATTCCACCTTCCTCTCTTGTTGTTTGTTTTACCAGTCTTGTATTCTCTCGCCCCTTGTCTCCAATCACTCTTCCACATGTTCTCTTTTCCCCCGTCACAATCTGTGTAATTGTCTCCTTTTTCACTCTTGGTTTTGCCTCATGTTCTGCCTTTGTCCCTCTCGTTTACTGCCTCTTTCTCTCACAGCTGGAGTGTGATAATTTCATCACCGTCATTCAGAAAGTAAACGACACAATGATTATATGTGGAACAAATGCTGGGAGCCCCAGGTGCTGGATGCTGGTAAGTGTTCCTCTCAGACAAATTATTTTGAAATGCTAGGGGTACAGAATGTTATTTTGCAGCCACTGCACATATTACACTTTGTATGGGTTGCTGCTGCGACTTAAAAAGATTCTCAAGATCGATTGTAATTAGCATTCACTCATTTGCTCCTTTACTTCTCCGGCTTGTTAGATGAAGGCCGGGAGTTTCTCATTGCCTATAGGAGGATGTTTTCTCTCATGAGAATGAAAGTGTCTGGTCATGGTATAGCAAAGTGTAAAATATAGACTCAGACGACTCTATGTATCTCAAGAAGTGCAAGACTTGTTCAGCCCTGTCCATGCACTGCTTACTAGGGGTGGGAATCACCAGGCTCCCCACGATACGATACTATCGCGATATTTAAGCCACGATACGATAGTATTGCGATTCTACGATATGCTAAGTATTGCGATACGATATATTGCAAATCACATGGGTCATATCCATGTCCGTCTTCCCTTCCTGGTTAAAAACTGTATTTGCAATATGAATAGTTTATGTAATAAATAATACAATTTGTGTTATTAGAAGCTGAAAAGGAGATTGTTTTTGTTACTTTCATTGCAGTTGTATACATGTCTTAACGTAACTTCCTGTTTTATAGACCACCATCTTTCGGAGGGATATGCTACAGTTTCTATACAAAAAAAAAGTATAATAAAATATTGATACTTGGCATCCGTGTATCGATACAATATCGCCACGCAAAGTATCGCGATACTATTCTGTATCGATTATTTCCCCCACCTCTACTGCATAATGCTAGACTTCCTCCAGGCAGAAACAGCTCTTCCCTCTCCGACAGGTCAATGAGACGGTGCTGACCGACGTCCAGGGGAACGGGCAGATCGCGTCGGCCTCTGACATCTCACCGCCCTACCCTTCCCAGAAGTCCATCAGCTTTCCTGCAGGTAACAAACTCAGAAAGGAAAATACGGCTCCGCTCGCAGGAGTCAATAAACGTGATGTCTTAAAGATACACAATTGCCTTCGAAAAAAAAAAGAAGACCCATATGAGTGTTATCTGATTGGACGCCATAAAAAGCCACATTTTAACTTAAAAGTGTGTAAAACGGCATTAGATTAAAAACAGAATTTGGCTTGTTTATATTCGGACCAACCGTAATTGGATACCAAAACTGTGTCGGGCTCAGTTTCTGTAAGAAAAGCCTGGTGGTTAAATACATTCAAAGTGTTAAAAGATAAAAGTTAGAAGTAATGAATTCTCCAGTCATTTCTCCTCAGTGTCTCAGTTAGTAAGTCTCACCTTTTCTCATCCAAGAAAAGTGTCACTTTCTTAAATATCTTATTTTGCATCAAAGCTGCGTTTATATTAACTTTGCTCATTTGAGTGTGGAGTAACCGAGTGAGACGTGAGAGTCCCAGCCTCCCTGGAGCGACCTGACTTCTTCTTATTATCTCTCTATTCATAACATGGAAATGAATAGGTTGCTTTTATCTACAGCAGTGTTTCTCGAACTTTTTCATACCAAGGACCACTTAACCAATAAAAAAACACTCGCGGACCACCTAACTCCAAAAATAATCAAAAACACATCGTTTTTCTAGAACAGATTACAAATCGCCTGAAAATGGTACAAACAAGTGGCAACATGTGTGATGAAGGTGTTGCGCTGGGCTATATCATGCAATCAAAAGCTGAAACTTAAGCTCGCTCCATTATGGAGATATTCCCGCGAGAGTGCAGAAAACTTTTATTTATTTATTTATTTCAAATGTGAAATTGTACCAATATACTCACGGACCACTAGGGGGCGCTCACGGACCACCAGTGGTCCGCGGACCACACTTTGAGAAGCAATGATCTAAAGGAACCCACAGAACACAATTTTAACGAGCCCATCCTATACAAGATTGGTGTGTTAACAAACCATGTATTACCGGCCTAAAGCATATTTATTTGAATTTAAACAAGATTTAATTTGATCCTATTACTGAAAATAATGCTTCATGCTGATAGCTCAATTTCTAGGTTAATCTCTTGTGTTTTAAGTGTATATTGTTGGAGCTAGTATTAATAAAGCGTGTATAACGTGTTTAAATACACTTCATCACACAAGGATAGATTTAAACTCAGGTCAATCATGTGTAAGTTACAAACCCTTTGTAAGTCTGAGTAGCCTTTCAATCAATATGACAACGAATGGAGCCACAGTTAAACGAAGGTTATCGAGTGAGTGATTCAATTAACTTCACGATTGAATCGAGACCCTTCGTTTATCACAGTTTGAGCCTTTTCTACCAACAATTCACCTTCATGAAAACAGAAAGCACTGTGTTAACAACTTTTGGGAAAATAGGATAAGATGAGGTAACGTAAGATAAAAATTCTGTGTTTCTTTTGGTTATTGTACACACACACACACACACACACACACACACACACACACACACACACACACACACACACACACACACACACACACACACACACACACACACACACACACACACACACACACACACACACACACACACACACACACACACACACACACACACACACACACACACACATTACAAATACACACATGCATATGACCTATACAGATATGGTCTATGCACGAACGCATGCATTTACTGAGAGATGAAGAGTGAAGAGGCTGCAGGTTGTCAGGCGTCAGGGAGCAGGTTGGGGTTAGGGCACCTCAGCAGTGTACAGGTGAACCAGCACCTCTCCAAATACCAGTCCACATACCGTATGTTTGGTCCATTTGGGACTTGATCCAGCGACCCTTCACTTCCCAAGCCAAGTCCCTACGGACTGAGCGACTGTCGCCAACATTCAACTTTTAAAAGAACTGGACAAAGCAAGTCTAAACCTTAACTGCAAAGGCATCAATTGTATTGTATTAAACCCAAATGCTTCTCAAAGGGTTTTACAATCTTTACAGAAAACCAACCTCTATCCATCGACCCTTGATTTAGATATGAAACAGCACCATCCCACGAATGATCAACCCCAGTTTAAAAAGCTCTTAGATCAGGGGTGTCCAAACCTTTTTAATCGAGAGCCACAGAGAAATATACGAAGGGCTGGGCCGCTCACTAGAGGTGTATCGCCTCATAAGTTCAGTTATAAGTTAGCAAAAATCAAATGTAGGTAAATGATGCTTGTAAGCAGCGATTTTGGGCCCCATGAAAAGATATCACATTGGTTACATTTTTTTCTTAATGTTCTAAAATAGTTGGGGCCCCTGTCAGTCACTGGCCCTTATAATCGTCCTAACTTTTCACCCCCTTACGGCGCCCTTGCTTGTGAGTGTTGGCAGCTCATCCCTTAAAACAGAAGCCTCAGATTGATTATAATAAGGAGAAATAGGAAGGGTTTATTTCAAGCTTGTTATGTAAATAAGTCATTGGGCTTTTTTCTTATCAACTAACATTTGTTGGAAAATGTTTCCAACTTGAATTGACTGAATTTATTTGAAAAGTGGTCTTTTTAACACATGAATACTACTGAGTAATATATGATTACTTTTGAAGTTAAGAAGTACAATATAAGACAAGCACACGTTTCATTTGTGGGACATATTTTATTAAACTTTTTGAATTTGCTGAGGGCCACATGTAGCCCCCGGGCCGTCATTTGGACACCCCTGTCTTAGAGGAAAAGAGAAAAGGGGAAACCTTAAAAAGAGAAATGAATGAATTCCTATGCAACAGAAAGATATCGAACATGTTATTCGTCAAAGTCCAACACCACCGGGGGATCACACCTCGCTGAGTGAAAAACATGCGACAGTCAGCCATCTGCTGTGGTGCCTTCACATGGAAACATTCACATTAAACATTGAGCTCTTATATAACTCACTGCACAAATAGATTTAGAAATAACTCAGACACAAGATTTACAGAATGCTGGACGATAAAGAGTAAAGAATGAGTAAAAAATCAGAATGTTCTTTAAAGTCCTAGTGGTTTTGATCAAGGTGAGGAGAGTCTTTTGATTGATTTGAATCACACATCTCATACATAATTGTATTTTTATATTTGGGATTGTGGGAAACGGTATTTCGATCTCGATGTCTGTACACACAAGCTGAAAGATTGACAATAACGTTGACTTTGACTTTAAATGGTATGTGCCATAAGTACTGCGTATATGTACTGTATGCCCTACATGTTTGGATTACTTCCCAAACATGTGGCCACATTTAGATATCCACAAACTACTGTCAGTTTCGGTTCTTTACAAGACTTTCATTATGTTCATTAGCACATGACAGTTCTCCATATGCATGTGTTGGGACATATTGGTTTGTTCCCAACACAACAAATTGATACTCAATTTCATCACAAAGGAAACCACTTTTTATTCTTACATGCATCACATTGACGTTTGTAATCATAGTCCATCTTACCAATTAGTTTTATTCCATTAAATTCATCGAGTAGTTTGGTTTGGATTCACAATATTTTATTGTATGGGAACATCATGTTTAGGTTTGAAGTGATATACTTCAGTGCCAGGTTCAAACCGTTGCGTTTTTGATCAAATTAAAGGTCTTCTAGCAAATATGTGGAAATCGTCTACGAGGTTCCCAAATACGCCTTTGTTTGCTTGCACCTCTCCACGGGGAACTTGTGATTATATGAACGTGTGTTATCCAGCTGTGCAGAATCACCTCAACTAAATAGAGATGTTAGGAGTTAAAAACATCCTTTCCAAATTGGTCAAAGCTCGTTATGAGCGACGGACAATTTGTTTCTCTGTTAACCCATCTAATGCAGATGGACTGTTTGCGGAGACATTCAGAAATTAGTATCCGCTGCAGGACGCTCTTCAACATCGATTTCCGAAGCAACGATCCGATCCGCGTCTGGAGTTGCGAAGCGTTCTAACAACGATAAGTCCTAATGAAGATGTTACTGCTACCGTTTCAAATGCTCGTTTCTATGGAGACCGAGCTCTAAGTGGGGTTTGAAGAATGGCGCTCGTCAGCTTTTGCTTTGATGTCTTTTTTACTCTCCTTCTTGATTCCCTCCCCCCTTGTTTTGTTAATTCTGTCTAAGTCCTCCCCTCCCCCCCTTTGTCTGTCTTCACTCTCTGTTTAATGTTCTCTCTCTGTATCCTCCTCTCCTCCAGTTTCACTCAACCCCCCTCCTGTGTCACTTCAATCTCTCATCCTCTCCCTCTGAACTGTGTACCCTTTTCTTTTTTTAAACCAACACTTTCTTCTTCCTCTCTCCTCTCTCAGATGGGAGTCTGTATTCGGCAATGTCATCTGTGGCAGGTCACCCCGGCTCCATTCGACGTACGTTTGGCTCCCAGAAGCTCCTGAAGACGGAGAACATTTGGCTGCTGAGTGAGTAGGAGGAGGAGGAGGAGGAGGAGGAGGAGGAGGAGGAGGAGGAGGAGGAGGAGGAGGAGGAGGAGGAGGAGGAGGAGGAGGAGAGTCACGCACACAACATATAGACTAACGAATATGGAGAAGGTGTATGCCAAACTGATTTATCTTTTATTCATTTCTGGAGGATATCAAAAAATCAATTCTTCCTAGTAAGAATTCTTGATATCAAAAATGCAATTCTTATTCGTAATAATGTTTATTTCTGATGTCATAAAATTAATTTTAACTAGTTAAAATGCAAATTCTTGATATCAGGAATTCAATTGTTACTAGTTATAATTCCATTTTTATTTATAACTAGTAACAATTGAATTTCTGATATCAAAAAAAGGATTTTGAACTAGTTCAAATTGTATTTCTGATATCAACAATTGGCATTTCGACTTGAGAAATTGAATTCTCGATATCATAAATTGGTATTTTTACTAGTTCAAATGTAATTGTAACTAGTAACAATTGAATTACTGATAATCTGAAATTGGCATTTGAACTAGTTCATATTCCAACTCCCATTGAAATGAATGAGAGAAACGATGCAAATCTCACTAGTTAAAATCGCATTGCTGATATCAGAAATAAACATTACAACTAGTTACAATTGAATTTCTGATATCAAGAATGTTACTTCTAACTAGTTACAATTCTATTTTTGATTTCAGAAATAAACATTCAAACTAGTAAGAATAGATTTGTTGATATCCTCTAGAAAAGAATACAAGCTAAATCGGCTTGCCATAAAGGTGGGTGTAGATATCCCACTTTAATTCCCAGGGGAAAAATACCATGTAGGATTATTTACTGTTATTTGTCCAGGTCATGTTCTTCACAGCAGTTTAATGGGAATCACAAACAAGTCCACTGAGAGAAGCCATTTTGGCGCAAAAAGGTTATGCTAGACTCAGGGAGATCTTCAAGATAAAGTGGAGCAAAGTGCCGATATCTTAATGGACGATTTGAAATCTAATCTCCAGATCCACAGTTTGCGGGGGCAGCCGTTATCCCGTCCACAATGAAGTACAAGGAGGAGATCTACTTCTTCTTCAGTGAGCTCAACAAGACAGCCCGAGTGGACGAGGAGCCGTACAGGGCCCGCATTGGACGCATCTGCACGGTAAAAATCACACTTTTTGTGCTTTTGGGAAACGCTGATCAACATTTTTTGACATTTGTAGACAAACAACTAGTTGAATAATCAAGTAAAATGATCCTCACATTATGAAATAAATACAATACCTGTTAGTTAGCAGATGTCTTGGGTAGTCATGTCTTTCTTAGCAAAAAATGAAGTCACTTTTCTTCTGTGTGTTGTAATCTTTCCATGTATCCAGCTGGCTAGCTAATGGCCCCATTATGACAGCCATCCATTCGTAGACTCCCATGCAGGACACTTTGTGGGAATGAGTTTTACTAGGGTATAGTGTTTCCTTAAAATTGCACACTGTTTTGCGCTCACTTGATAAACAACCAACGCTGTAAGCTAGCTTGTATGATGTCCTTTTGTTGTTCTGTTGTTTATGTTTTTATGTCTTCATGTGGAACCTACTGCTGCAGGTCTCCCTTGAAAAAGAGATCATTGATCTCAATGGGATTTCACCTGGATAAATAAAGGTTTTGAATTTGAATTTGTAAGCTAGCTTGCAAGCTAGTTAGCAGAGTTATAGTTTGAAGTACCAATTCAATACAGGCTAAATAAAGACAATCAACACTCAACTTTTTGAGCAACATGAGTGAAGAAACAGGACTGCACTTTGCCAGCCTTAGGGTTATGATTCAACCCAGTCTCACTGCATTTCGTGTTATAGTCACAAAATCTATTGAATCTATTGATTCGTGTTCACCAACACGATTTCCCCCTTGTTTTCGTGTCACACAGAACGATTTTAAAAGCAATGTATTTCTACTGGTAGTGTGTTTCGTGCCTGCACCACGTCTTTTTGTCCGGTCGGGTCTTGGAATACCGGAAGCTGTGTGGTTCATAAAAACATCTTCTGACTCAATATCTTACCCTAAGCCTAACCCTATCCCTTTTATTTTAAATTGTCTAATGTCGGAGTTTTTTTTCCGTCCGCGAGGAAAATAAATGTCTCAGAGCCTCAGAATACTGAAATCTGTATTTTTTCTAATTTGTTATTATTTGGTGCAGGCACGAAACATACTACCAATATAAATACATTGCTTCTCAAATCGTTCTGTGTCAGAATACTGAAATCTGTGTTTTTTTGTATCTCTTTTTCCTTCAAATTTGTTATTATTTACGTTGCTTTTAAAATCGTTCTGTGTGACACGACAAAAATGCGAAAATCGTGTTGGTGAACACGAATCAATAGATTCATTTCGTGACTATAACACGAAATGCCGTGAGACTGTGTTGAATGATTAGTGTTAACACAGTTATAAACTCAAAACAGAAAGTGAAAGTACAGAAGGTTGTGCATTGAGACACAACACTAGAAATGCTCTTAATTACATATAAATAACTTTTTACTGAAATCATTTATATAAGATAAGATAAGAGATAAGATAGTACTTTATTGATCCCAATTAGGGAAATGTTTGCGTTGTAGCAGCATAAAAAAGACAAGGCATTGTACAATAAAAATTCAAAGACTAGAAATAAACAAGAAAGTAGAAAATATACATGTTGAATTAACAAGGTATTATGTATACATACATACATACATAAATACATATATGACAGATGGAATATTAAATATAGAACAGATTATATAAATGTACAATGTGTATAATATGTGTATCTCTATCAGTGTTTCCCCTACCATTGTCTTGTAAGGCAGCCCCGCGCCCCCCTGAAATTCAAGGTGTTTAAAAAAAAAAAAATTATAATTATTTTTTTTAAATTAATTTATCAACATTTTTAAAAATATATATAGCACCAAATTGCAAATAATCTATAACTACTGTCACTTTTCACATTGAACATGTGCTCTTTTATTAAATAAACTAAACGCTTTCATTTTAAGTTGTGAGTTTAGTGTTTTTGACCCTAAGAAACACTGATGCACTCATCAATAACAATAATCCACAGCTCCTCTCTCTGCTCCAGAGGATTTAAAAAATATATATCCCAATGCCCCCCCCCCCCCCCCCCCTGCTCAGGCAGCACCCCCCCCAAAGCAGTAAACCTGGGGGAAACACTGCATTGATCCATTTATTTTTGGACTCTAGAGTTGCTGCGTGGCAGATTTACATATGATTGAGCTACACTGCACACATCAATGTACTTAATACTCAAAGATAAGACACGCAACATTTGTATTTCCCCTTAAATGTCAGAGTACTCCTATGAGGGAGAATAACTGGTGTTGTGGGTGAAGGGTCAGAGTCACATCCTTGCGGGGGACTCAAAGTATAATTCTAAATCAATTTGGCAACGCCGCTGCCATATTATGACTTTGTTGTCACAATCCTTTCATGTTTGTTTCCAGGTGGATGAAGGGGGCATCAAAGCACTGCTGGAGAACTCGTGGACCACCTTCATGAAGGCCCGGATGATGTGTGGTGCAGGAAAAACACACCAGCAGTACAACAACCTGAAGCAGGCGGTGGTTCTGACGGCGCAGGACAAGAGGGCGGGGGTCCTGTACGGCCTGTTCTCCAACGCATGGTGAGCAGGAACATACACACACATCGACTGCCCACACAGTTGTCGTGGATTCGATGTAACGCTCACAACATTAAAGAATAAGACAAAGAGGAATCAATAAAACACAGACACAGAGATGGTTGAAGTCAAACAAAGGTTTATATTAAGGTACACACATTCACCATCAACTAGTTGTTAATTAACATGCGTATTAGCAGTATATTGGCTCTTTATTAGTCATTATAAAACACTTATTAATGCCTTATTCTACATGACTAGGGGTGCACCGAATGGGAAATTCTTGGCCGAAACCGATACCGAAAATAGGAAACAGTTGGCCGAAAACCGAATGCCGAAAGGCCGAAAATGATTAATAAAAATATATATATATAATGTATACATTTTTTACCAATGTTGTTCAGCTACCTGATTATGGAAATAGACATGATTATGGCAAAACTTAACTTAAATAATAATCACTATTATGGGTCCATAAAACATTTATTCAGCACTTTTGAATGCATACAGTACATTTATATATGTCATGTATTATTGCTAAAAAACATTATATCGCATTCTTAGTGTCGCCAACTCGTTTCTAATATGCAAAGACAACAAATGCGTCTATGATGTATTTTCGATCAGACGAGATCTCTCTCCCCCGTCTGTGTGCGAGGGGGCGGGGCAGTTTACACACACGCAGCTGCTACATGCAGCGGAGCACACTGCGGAGATGGCGGAGAGAACGCGCTCCGAGGTGTGGTTAAACTTTACCCGTCTCGATGTGGAGAATACTTGTTACCATAAGTGCAATAAGAGTTTAGCATGTAAGCACGAGCAATTTGTCTAAACATTTAGCAAAAGTGCACCGCATGCAGACGGAGGAATGTACCGGGTTCGACCGTCTTTCTAGTAGCTCTGTAGCCCCGTCCACGAGTAACGTTTCCACGTCAGGTGTTATGTATGCTAGCAGCAACACACGGAGTTAACTACATGATACAAACACGGGTTAATGATTAGAGGAAACTGAGTTATTTAGTTTGTTAAAATTTCATCTATTCTGTTTACAGTCTGTCATCAGATTATTTAATACGATTTGTTAAAGGCTCAGGGCGGGCAATCTCATGACAAAGGTCAATGTCCCCCCCCCCCCCCCCTGTGAGCCAGCCTCGAGCATGGTCGCCGCGTCTTTATTACGTCATCACAACAACACACCAGGTTACCAACGTAAGCCTGTTCTGACATTCGGTGATATTTTTTCGGTGCTAAAACCCTTTCGGCCGAAAGGGCCTTTTTAACCATTTTCGGCCGATAATTTTCGGTGGCCGAATATTCGGTGCATCCCTATACATGACCATATAAGTAATAAGCCATTAGTTGAGAGTTGTTCCTCAATATCCCTCTAATTAGAGCTTATGTATTGGAAGTAAGGAAGCTGTTGTACATGAGTGTTGGTCTTAATATGCTCAATATGGGCCTAATAAGGCAGCAGTACCACAAGAATAGTAATTCTCCCATAATAACACCTAACACATGTGGTCTATTCTTATGTAACAAGAAATTAAACTACAAGTGTTAATTGAGTCAAAATAACAAAAAAATGTGGTATTTCTAACTCAGAATATGTTCCCAATTTTAAAGTGAAGTCTTGTTTATAACAAATAAGCTAGTAGTTTGTCTCTACACACCAAACTGACGCCTCACGTCGCCTCACGTCCCCTCACGTCCCCTCACGTCGCCTCACGTCGCCTCACGTCGCCTCACGTCGCCTCACGTCCCCTCACGTCGCCTCACGTCGCCTCACGTCGCCTCACGTCGCCTCACGTCGCCTCACGTCGCCTCACGTCCCCTCACGTCCCCTCACGTCGCCTCACGTCCCCTCACGTCGCCTCACGTCGCCTCACGTCGCCTCACGACGCCTCACGACTCCTCACGACTCCTCACGACTCCTTCGTCTTGGCCATGTGTCGTACTGGAACACACCGCAAAGACTTCAGCCAACGGCCAAGAAGCACGTACGAAGTGCGCATGCGCGAGTGGCAATAACTCTCCTTACCAGCAGGCGGCGGTAGTGTGTATTCGTCATTCAAAAGAGGCAACCGGAAGACAGACTGCGTGATAACCGAGAGAAGAAGAACAGACTGCGTGATATTAACAAACAACAAATAGCGTGTGCGTTCCATTTTCACTCTACAGCGAGAAGCTCACGAACCTGTGTCGAGAGCTGGAGGTAAAGGAAATGTCAGATTTGCCTTCTTAATAGTTTGTTTGGGTCCCTCACTTCCGTTTCGCTTCTCATGCACTGATTCGCTAGCTGAACAGCCAATCAGAGTGATTTCTTTGGCCGACGGCTTCCCGATTCAACAAGTCGAATCGGCGGCGGAAGGTGTCGGCACGGCCGAAAAGACACGACGGTGCAGTACACACCAATCCGAGTAGAGCGACACGACGCTCATCGACGGCCCGACATCTAACGACGCCGATAATTGGCTTGGTGTGTAACAGCTTCCATGTTAATTAACAACTAGTTGATGGTGAATAAGTGTATCTTAATATAAAGTGTTACCCAAATATTATATGACTGTACAGCACTAAAAGAGACACATTACCTAGCAACAAAGCAATCAATAGTCTAAGGGAATCTCAGATGCGTAGTTGAACTCCTACTGACCTCTGTCTCCTCGGTCTTTAAATAGTTCTAGTTTCCATGACCCTTTTCTGCTGATACCACACGTGCCAATGTAGACAACTATTGGCCACAGAAATAGTTATGCCTCCTTTTGGAAACTAAATGGATAACCCACTAGTATGGCTTCACAGATTCTACACAGTCTATACAGCTTAAGGGAAATGACCCTGTAAACGGTGTGATGTTATGCTTATGTAAATTAAAGAATGCACAAAGAAGCTTCGTCGTGATGCATGAAGCTGTAATTACGGGTCTCTGAAGACAAGTATGAACATCTTGGTGAAACAAAACAGAGAATGGTGTTTGGGGTAACCATAGGTTGTACAGGCTAGCAGAGGATTTGAAGTGTTGATTGCTTAATTTGTACTTCTTTATGGAGACAGATTCCAAATGGAGATGAAAACAAAGAAAGACAAGAGAGGTGATTAAGGAATAGCCATGCGAGCAACCTGTATCCGCTTACATGCAGCCTCGAGAAGAAACACTACTGTTATATATATAATGTTTCCACTCCTACGCCGACGACGCCCAACTGTACATCATCACAAAACCCTCTGCCCATCTCCCCCCTCAGTCACTAATCAACTGCCTTCACGAAATTAAAACCTGGATGACCACCAAGCTACTCAAAGTAAACAGTGATAAAACTGAGCTCATGGTTGTGGCCCCCAAGGCACTGCTCGGGAAGCTTGGAGTCAACATCGACGGTTCCATCATCTCCCCATCCCCTCAGGTCCGCAACCTTGGTGTTGTCTTGGATTCAACCCTCTCATTTCAAAACCACATCAAATCCGTTTCAAAATCATCCTTCTTCCACCTCAGAAATATTTCAAGACTCCGGCCATCACTGTCCGACTCTGTTGCTGAGAAGCTGATACACTGATTCATTACCTCACGCCTGGACTATTGTAACGGACTCCTGTCCGGGGTTCCCAGCAGAACCCTGAACCGGCTCCAGTACATACAGAACTCAGCTGCCAGGGTTCTCACACGCACCGAGCCCTGGCAGCACATCACCCCCACTCTCTCCAACCTCCACTGGCTCCCGGTCAAGTCCTGCATCACCTACAAACTCCTCCTCCTCACCTACAAATCCCTCCATGCCCTCTCCCCTCAGTCCCTCACAGATCTCCTCCACCCATACATCCCGTCCCGTACCCTTCGATCCTCAGACTCTGGCCTGCTCTCCATTCCCCATTCACGCCTCTCAGTTCTTCTTTTGTCTCATTGTGTAAAGCTAGCTGCTGGAGCATGTATGGGTTGTCTAATGCAGCAAACACGGTTATAAGAACAACTTGTGGCAGTACTGATTTCCCAGATTGTAACTGTTTGGAAGAAGCCTGAGAACGGTTGGAAAGCACAACAACAACAACAACAAATATATCTATATATATCTCAACAGGGAGAAACAAAATTGCACATCATGTCTTCTCAAGGAAATAAATGCCTCTTCAATTTTCAACAAATGCTTCTTTAATGATAAACGTTATTTGATCTTCTTCGGGAACATTGTTCATAAAGGGCTTTTGATAAAGACACAATAAATCCAATAGCACTTATGGGCAGCGGGAGATTCTTAAGAAGGTTTCTGGCTCCTGCTGAAATGAGCTCACATTACGAGTCACTCGAGGTTCAGAAAGCCCTGGATTTGCAAATCTCTGCCTCTCTTAAACCCTAAAGACAGACCCCCCCCCCCCTCACTCTGATTGGCCCAAAGGGGGAAATGCACCACGCTGCTCTCAATTACTAATCAGGTGTATGGGCCCACACACTGTGTAACAGGTGATCTCAATAACCTGCAATCAACTCAGAGGGACCTGTGAGAGTCAGATAAAAGGGAAAGTAAAACTACCAAAGAATGAGGGACTGTGACAATGTTTGTGAATGTGTTGAGAAAAACTCCAAGCAGCCCCCCACCCAAAAAATACATAGCAATACAGGTATATGGATTATATGTAACTTGGAAGCTAATAGACACATGTTATGTGAACATGTTAATGCAGATGACATCTTTGTTTACTGGCATAAAACCAGCAGAAATATCTTAAATCCTACTTTTTATGTAAATGATTGAAATCTTAAATTATTTCCGGATTTTTATTTAAAATTAAAATTGGGACATGTCTGTTCCTCAAAATCTGATAAGGCACAGCTGCAACAGTCACACAGAATATGGTAGAGGTACATTCATCGCACAATATATTATAAAGCTTAAGAAAACCAGAGTAACTGACACTCACTATAAACACACCTAACACTCTAGTTTGCCATTCCTTCAGACTTAAAACAAGTGTCTTATCAGTGTTTTATTTGACTGTAAAATCTATTTTTTGTGGAGTCTGCCATATACTGCAGTTGTTCCCAAATGTTGCAAGTCATGCTGCAAAAATATCAGCTGTCATACAACAAATTCAAAAACATTGTGGTGTCATTGTTTGCCAATAATCTACCTAATTGTTTACCAAAGGAAATACTGATTGCACATATTTAGACATTTTGAAAGACATTTAAAAAGTTGTCACACTGACATACAAACAGTGTCATACAGTATCAAGCGTGGATGGTTGGCTTATTATTCTGTGTGTTTCTCATAAAAAAGCTTTGTTTGGAAAAGAGAGAGATCAATGAATTGGATCTCTTGTGACAAAACATGTTTTTTTATTGGATCCGTTTGCAAGGGACACTTTTAAATATTGAAAACACGTGTTATGCAGTTCACCAACGTTAGCTTGAAGCTGATTTCATTTGCTGTAATCGTACAATAAAGAAAAAAAGGAGAATGTGAAATAAACACATAATAACAAGACACATTTAAAGGTGGGGTCGGTAATTTTGGAGAAACCAGCTCGAGTGCGCTAGAATTTGAAAATACACAGCTGGAGAAAATCTGCCACTTCCTCACAGAGCCCCTCCTCCAACACACACGAACGCGCACATGACCAATGAGGGCACGAGATAAGTTTGTGCACAGATGCTTCCACAGATGACATTTTTGTTATGGATTTTTTTGTCAAAGCATTTAATATATTCATTGCTATCGGGATGTTAAGAGCATTCCATGGAAAATAACAAAAAGTGTATCTCGAGCCGGTTTCTCAAACTTACCTACCCCACCCAAAATGCAGTCTCCTTTAATGCGAGAGTTTGAAATATTGGTTTGCTCCAAGACTTCCACTTCTCAAGGCGGCATTCATAGTTATGTACTGTTTTCTGTTCATGGATGAGTGCATTTCTTCTGTCCCTGTGAGTCCCTCATAACAACTCGTCCTAGTTGTATTGTATATGTAATTACTCCTTTCTCTGCCTTTGTTCAGGGGCAGAACAGTGATTTGTGCCTACTCCATCGAAGACATTGACGTGGCTTTCTCCACTTCCAAACTGAAGGGCTACAGCAGCGCTTTCATTGGCTCTCGCCCTGGGATGGTAAGAAAAAACAATCTTTAATTTCCTTTTCTGTCACACTTATCTGAGAAAAACAGCATTGCGATAAAAATGTTTGCATGAGACAGCCTTTTGTTGCAGAGGTGAACGGATGAAAATGCTATTTTTTGAAAGGCACGAGTTGATAAAAGAGAAGCAATTTCAAATTCTTTGTCCAAGGGCATCTTGTTTGTTCAGCCTGGTCTGAATCGATTACGTCACTTCTCCCCCTCAGTGCGTACGCAAAAACTCGACAACAGGAGGTCACAACGACATCAAAAACCTCGGGGTGATCAGATACCACCCGGAGATCGAGGATGTGATCCAGCCGGTCGGTGTGGCTCCGCTAGACCTGCCCATGGACGACGACCAAATCACACACACTGTGGCGGACATCGTGATGGCGGTCAACGACGAGCACTACAGCGTCCTGTACATCGGAACAGGTGTGTGTGTGCTTTGTTATGTGTGTGTTAAAGCTTCAGGTGTTTGTCATGGAGTATCTGCGTCCACTTCCTTTTTTGTGCTTTAAACCTTATGTTGTGTTCGGGTCTCCCGTCAAGTTAAAAACAGTTTTTTTATCAGAACAAGGCTTCATGATATCCTCCTCCACAGCAGCTATAAACACACTACCAAACAGATTTTGAAAATGTTAGCCAAGTCTCAAGGTCTCTAAAAAGAAAAGTGTATAATTTGGTGTTGGGGTCTGGGGAGACCCAGCAGCATTGTTTTGGGTGACTCAATGTCAAATTTGGCCCAATCAAGATTCATCTTTGACTTTAGACGCCCCTCCCCCTTCATACACTGTAACAATAATTGTTTGGCAACATGCACCTGGTCTTCCCTCCCTCTGCCCCCTCCCCTCCCTCTGCCCCCCTCCCCCCACGGGAACTCGACATTTCTCAAAGAGTACACTAATGGCGCGTTTCCACTGCAGCGGGGTAGCCCCGTTTAAGCGTCCCTAAGCGTCCTCGCTCTAGCCTCGGGCTGCCTCGCTGGCCGGCCCAGGCCGTGGCGCATTTCCATTACAGTTTAGGACCTGGGGTAGCAACGCAGTGTAGGCGGGGCGATCGGCTTTTTTTTTGTTCACATTTCTCGTTGTTCCGTCGAGCTCCCGCTGGATTTGATCATCCCCAATGAGATGTAGGAACGTCGTCACCTCCTCGGTCGACCACGGTGTGCTTTTCTTATTAGACGTAGCCATTTTTGTAGCTCATCATAAAAATGCTGCAAGCTTGCTTCTAGATATATATGCGACGCTAGGGATGAACTCGCGCGCAATCTTGTGACGATTCTCTCTGACCAATCAGCAGTCGAGAGTGTTGACGTCACTAGTTCAGCCCTGGCCCTGGTCTGAGGGAACCACGATTTTATGAGGCCGGAAAAAGAGGGAAAAAGTACCCGCTGGCCGGTACTAGGCTATATGGAAACGCCACCAAAAACCGGCCTGGCCGCTTGAGGACGGTTAAGGACGCTTAAACGGGGCTACCCGCTGCAGTGGAAACGCGCCATAACACTTGAACCTGAACCAGGGGCGGATCTAGACAAATATTCATGGGGTGGCAAGAGAGTGGCAGGAGATTTTGAGGGGTGGCATCCCCTGACAGAAGTATATGCTGATTGAAATCGCAATCATATCAATCAATTAGGGGTGTAACGGTACACGTACTCGTACTGAAATTATTCGGTACGGGCCCTTCGGTTCGGTACACGTGTGTACCGAACGAATATAGCGTTAAACGTAAACAATTGAGAACAACTTTCTGGAAATAATCTCAGGTATATATCATAGAGAGACCAAGTCATTTCATTGGACGAGAGGCATACTATGAGAGCTGGTCACAGGGATGAGTTCAAATGTAGTCAGTAATTTGAGGAACTGTCGAAATGGCGAACGCAGATAAAGTTGAGCTGAAAATCCTCCAGCATCATTGAAGTCTCCGGTTTGGGAACATTTTGGTTTCGCAGTTACGTACAAGGATGACGGACAAAGACAGGTGGACCGAACCAAAGCTGTTTGTCGACATTGTTCAACTAACATTGGTTACGCGGCTGGCAATACATCACACTCATTTGAAAAGGCATCACCCGAACGTGAATATCACCGGTACCAAAAGAAAAAAGACTGAAGTGCAAACCCAACTCCCGCTAGCATTTAAGCCTCCACCACTCGCAACAAGTTCAGACCGAGCCAAAGCTATTACAAACGCCAAGTATCCTTATGTTGCCATGTTAGCAAAGCGCTACCTGGCTGTATCTGCTGCCTCTGTCCCTAGAGAGGGTGTTCTCCACAGCAGGAGACATTGTTAGTGCCAGCAGATCTGCCATTTCAGCAAGCAATGTGGACAAGTTCATCTTTCTTTAAACAACATGAAAATACAATGAAAAGCAAGTCCTAATGTCAAGCTGGCTGCTCAGGTACTAGTACAGTTCAAATACAGATTATTTCAGTTCATCGAAATGCTGCACCTTAATGTTTATTTTACTATATTTTGTATTTATTTGAATACATTAGTCAGTTTAATAATAATTAAAAAAATATATTTAATGTTTTGTGATAATTTTTTCTGCTGTACCGAAAACGTACCGAACCGAACCGTGACCTAAAAACGAGGTACGTACCGAACCGAAATGTTTGTGAACCGTTACACCCCTACAATCAATGTTTACTTGGAAAGCCACAATATTAAAGGGATAGTGGAAATGGAACCTCAAATAGTTTCGTTTTAACTTATATACAAGCATAATTACGTACCAAAACAATCACACCTGATTAAAAAAATATAATAATTGCCTTATGCATGTTAGAAGCACTTTATTGCAGCTTCCCCGAAGTTTTTTAGAAACGAAATGTTCGACTCAGCCAAACCGGAAGTGACGAAAACTTAGGAAGACGATACGATAACAAACCATGGCGTCTATGCAGAATGAACGTGGAAGGGCAAATATACCAGACAAAGAAGAAGGATTGTACGAGGTATCCAGTGATGATAGCGAGTCAGAAACATCCTCTCGGCTTTCCTACGAAAATGTCGTTTTAGGAACTGAATCTGAATCCGGTTCAGTAAGCGACGATGGTGACAATATTGAGCCAGACGATGGACCATTACGTCCTTATTTGTTCGAGCCCGAGCCCGAGGTGATGGTTCACGGCATGGGCAATGGCGAGGATGACCAGGACCAGGCGCCAGATGATGCACCCCTACGAACAAATAATCTTGACTGGTAGGTCCCTAAGCATAGCTCACGCATCTTAAGATCACCTGTAGCCTTTACAAATATTAATCATTGTTAACCAGTTAAGCCCGAAGGTCCCCCCAGTGGACCCCTCCCACAGTTTTTTTCCTCTCACATGTCTCAGGGCTTCTTAACATTTATGAAACTATTAATGTTTCATACCCTTTTAAAGGTAAGAAACTCCGCTAACTGACAATAAGAACAATTGTTAGCTAGAAAAAACACAAGAGTAATACCAAGCCTTTGAATTAGCATTGAGCGAAACAATGCTAACTAATGCTAACGCTTTTTTACACACAACACACGGTAGAAATGCCCTTATTACTATCTTAACTGCACAAACAAGATATACGATTTAAAGCTGAGACTCCACAGATTCCACACATGTAATGTCATCACTGTAAGACCTCGAATTCCTGGAGCTATCAGCCAGAAAAGAGAAAGTAAACAACATCCGGTTCCAAAAATATTACAATAATTACGTCTTACCTTTTTTGATTTGTGATCAAAAGTTGTGTTCAACGGAATAAAAACGCATCTCAAGGTTAATCCAATGTCGTTGTGTCACGTAGAATTTTTTACTGATAATCAATCATCATATTTATGGCAATATACTCAGTACCATAATAAAGGTCGGCTATTCACATGCAAATGCTATTGAATGTCCGCCATTGTTTGTGCCCGTCTTCCTATGCTCTCGTCATCACCCGAAGATTCCCGACGATTCCCGAAGTATCTCGTTTCATTGAGAGGGCGCAGTAAAATTGAAAATAAAATGAAACTAGGCGCATGAAATTAAAAAAAATTGTTTATTATGCTTATTTTTAATAAAAATACATAAGTTAAACCCAAAATTCTCGGATTTCCACTATCCCTTTAATATTTTAACTCAATCACATAGGTGATATTATTCACATCAGTAAAGCCTTACATATAAGGTGGCAGACGTAATTTAATGAATTTTAACTGAACAATAACTGAATGAGTTTGTCTCACTCTTAGACCAGCAGGGGTACCAAATCTATGCAGACTGCTGCAATAAGTACATGAATTAACTGTCTCATCGATGTTTGTCTGAATGAATATGATAATATTAACAATCATATTATTCCCATCAGCTGTCAATCACTGTTAATAAATAATAATAATAATAGATTTAATTTGTTAGCGTTTTTACGACGCTTTACATATATAGTGAAGAACTGTTACGATTCACATATTCATTTATTATTGAATAAACTATATTTTTTGGAGGAGTTAATGATGAATGTTAATCAAGATGCTTGCTCACCCTCCTTCAAATTTGAAAAACAAGTAATTATATCATTATTGATATACAGTTACAACCTTGACTTTACATCAGAAAGAACAAACATTAAAGAAGTGACTAACTGCATCAGTTAGGGTTAAAAAACGTGTATTCAGCTAAAACATCGCTGCAGTTATTATCCAGTGGAAGGTCCTTACCTACTGGCCTAGTTCAATCAAAGTGGTTACTTTCTGTTGGCTGGGCAGTGTAGTTTTACACACCATCTTATTTGACTTTCTCAGGACTTAAAACTGTTTTTTTGGGGGCAGACCCCCTCAAAGAAAAAAACTATACACGCATACAAGGTCATCATCTTAACAGTTTGTTATTCTCATCGAGTCATCCGTGAGCAGAGCATCAAGTTGGCATGTCTATTACAGCTGAATGCGGCGATTACTATTTTGTTCAGCAAAACGCCTCACAAACTTATTAAGATCAACAGCTGTAGTGCGTTTTGATTCAATGCTGAGTGCAGCCAAACTGACAGTCTCTTCTCTGTCAGACCGCAAATACCTCATTCCTTCAGTGCTTGGGTCCGAAAGGCTTCTCGTTTTGCGCCGTCCCCCCGTTCAAGTGAATTCACCACCAATCATATTTCCACTCTCGCGCCAGGACCGGGGGAGGGGTTACATGACGTGCATCTTGTGCTGCATTCACTTGCACTCGGACATTAGAGACTTTCTCTCATAAATGTCCGATGAGCCACAACTTTTCTTTCAAAACAAAGATGCCAACTGGGGTGGCAGCTGGGGTTGGCAAGGCTATTGTTTAGGGTGGCAGTTGCCACCCCATGCCACCCCGGTGGACTGAGATAAATCATGGGTCAAAATTGAGCTGCGAACACCATGAACGGTAACAGCTTTTGATCACAACACAAGGGTTAATGCGATCGTAATGATT